ATTATTAAAAAATCAAAAAATCTTATCAAACAATCATCCCTAATCTCTCCTTCTCTTCTCTTCTTCCTCTTCTTCCTCTCACACTCAATCTCTTCAATCTTCGTCAGGTCCACGCATCCACCGTGGCGTCTCACTCCCCCGTTCTTCTGACGTCTCAGGTCTCGAGGTCAGGTCAGGTCAGCTCCGTCGAGGTCAGCTCCGCCGAGGTCAGCTCCGTCGTCTACTTGTGGAAGGCGGCGTTCTCGAAACCCGTGGCGGTGGAGTTCATGGGGAGACACTCGTGCACTCTGGGCGACTTCTTGGCGGATCTGTCGGCGTTGGTGGGGGAGGAGGGGGGAGGGGAGAAAAAAGAGGAGGGTGTGAGTAGGAATGGGGGATTTTTTGTTTTATGGTTATTTAAGCTTTTTTTTTTTAGTTTTTTAGTTTTTTTTCTTTCTTCTCTCTCTCTCTCTCTCTCTCTATATCTATCTATCTATCTACTATATGTCTATCTCTATCTACTATCTATCTATCTATATCTATATCCTCTCTCTCCCCACTCACTCTCTCTCACTCTCTCTCTCTCTCTCTCTTCTCTCTCTCTCTCTCCTCTCTCTCTCTCTCTCTCTCTCTCTCTCTCTCTCTCTCTCTCTCTCTCTCTCTCTCTCTCTCTCTCTCTCTCTCTCTCTCTCTCCCTTAACAACCGAAAGAACAAGCTCACCGCTGCTCACCCACCGATAAACGAGACACATCACCAGCAACGTCAAGAAAAAAGACCCGAAGGCTATTGCGAGGTCGCGTGGAAGTCGCCTGCAAAGGGATTCAGTGCGTTAGAAGAGGAATTGGATTCTTTCGGTTAGTTATTCTTTTGGTTATATTATTTTTTTTTCTTTCTTTTTGTAAATATTGATTGAAAATAAGATTGATGGCTAGGCTGATGGATAGCTAAGTAGTTGGTTAAAGAGATGAGAGTGCAATTACTGTATAAGAAAAAAATGAACAAAAATGTATAATACATATGCATATATATATGTGTGTGTGTGTGTGTGTGTGTGTGTGTGTGTGTGTGTGTGTGTGTGTGTGTGTGTGTGTGTGTGCACATATACATATACATATGTATATAAATGAATAGATAAATAAATAAATTTATATACACACACACATACACACACACACACACACACACACACACACACACACACACACACACACACACACACACATATATATATATATATATAATATATATATATATATATATATATATATATATGTGTGTGTGTGTGTGTGTGTGTGTGTTGTGTGGTGTGTGTGTGTGTGTGTGTATATATTATATATATATATATATATATATATATATATATATATATATAATATATATATATATATATATTATAATGTTGTGTGTGTGTGTGTATGTATATGTACATATATATGAGCGTGTGTGGGTGTGTGCTTTAAGAACTGTAATTATCACAAGGACCATTCCTGATGCAATTTTACGTCCTCTATTAGCTCTCATCAATAGAGCGAAAAACGACTAACTCGGGGCAACAAAAGACAATACCTGACGCCGCAGACCCGGTCAAACTCCTGTGAGAAGATAAAGAGAAAACATTACATAAATTATATAGTAATGATAACGATGATGATGATGATAGGATTGAGGATCATACTGGAAATAATCATGGTTATAACGAAGGCAGTAGTAATGATAATGATAATGATGATAAGGATAATGATAATAATAATTACCATTATTATCATTATTGTCACTGTTATTATTGTCATTGGTATTATCATCCTTGTTATCATTATTTCATAGTAATGATAATCGTCATCATAAAATTTATAATAATAATGATAATGATAAGAATAAGAATAATAACATTAAAAAACAAATAATGATAATAATGATAATGTCGATGTGAAGATGTAATAATAATTAGAACAAGATGAGGAAGAAAACGGCCGTGATAATAGTAGTAGCAGTAGTAGTAGTAGTAGTAGTAATAATAATATCAATTATAGTGAAAATGACAATAATATTAGCATCAATAATAACAATAACAATAATAACAATTACAATAATGATTATAATAATAACATTAAAATGATAATAATGACAATGATAACAATTACGATAGTAATATTATAATCATGATCACTTTTATCATCATCATCATTATTATCATTCATTACCATTATGATTATGAATAACCATTCGAAATTTAATAATAGCAATCATAATCATAGTAGGAATGATACTTATAACATGATATAACAAATCCTTACAATTCTGTACATGTGGAAAGAATTACAGTACATGAATTAATGGAAGCTTTTAGTTTAATGAGAGAGAGAGGAGGGAGGGGATGAGGGGAGAGGGGATTCCAGGGGGAGAGAAGAAGAAGGAAGGAGAGGTAATAGGAAGGAGGGAAGAGGAATAGGAAGGAGGGAAGAAGGGAATAGGAAGGAGGGAAGAAGAGGGAATGAGGTAAGAGGAAGGAGGGGTAAGGAGAGGAAGGAAAGAAGGAAGGAGGTGGGGAAGAAAGGAAGGGAAGAGGAAGGAAATATTGGAGTGTGAATGAAAGGAAAGGGGATGGGGATGGGGGATGTGGGGGAGAAGGAAAGGGAGAAGAATAAGGAAGAGGAAGGGGAGAGGAAAAAGAGGAATTGAAAGGGATTCGGAAGAGGGAGATGGAAGAGAAGGGAAGAAGAGGGAATCTGAGAGTAAGAGGCGAGTGAAGGGAAAAGGAGGAGAGGAAGAATGGAAGATGTGTAGAAAACAGGATAAGGAAGAGAAGAAGAGAGAGGAGAGAAGAAAGAAGCGGACGAAAAGGGTAAGAAGAGAGAAGAGGACACGAGAAGATAAAGAGAAGAGGTATAGAAGCATTTAGAGTAACGAAGAAGAAATAGAGCATAAGAAAGAATAAGGAAAAAGCAGGGACTCGAAGAAATGCGAGGATGGGGAGGATAAGAAGCAAAAAGAACCAAGCAACGATGCAACTGACCTGCATAAGAATCCTCCCGGGGTATTAATGCATTCTTGATCGTCCCTGCACATTGCAAGGCCTTCTGCACATTCGTCGACTTCTGTGCATGACAGTGACAAGATAAAGTTGATATAATGGAGAAAATCGATGTTGATTTGGAGATGACTATGTTGGAAATCATGATGGACATGAGGGTCATATAGATAGTATAAAAAAATGTTTATGGCAATGTTGGTGACGATAAATAAGGAGAACTTTGAAAACATTAAGCATAATGGTAATCATAGGAATGCTATTGAAGATTTTAAGCATAAATGTGATTGCAATGCTATCACGGATTAAACTAATTCTAATAATGATAAAAGTTATATGACGACGATGATAATAATTAAAGTGATAGCTGTCTGGAGCAACATGTCTGATATGTAGGCTATGACAATGAAATCATGAAGCAATCTTGTTAATGCAGTCAAATAATAATGGAAATATTAATAAGAATGATGATGGCGATGACAATTGTGATTACGATTATCATAATGATGATAATGATGCTGATGTCTTGGTGATATAATGATGTTCATAATTATAATGAAGATGATGATGATGTTAATGATAATGAAATTGATCGTGATGATGATAATGATAATGATGAAGATGATAATAAGTATAATGTTGGTAATGATAATGATGGTAACGATAATGACCAAAATAATGACAATAATGACCCCTTTATCTCGTTTCCTCCGCATTTACCTTCTCCCCTTTCACTTCCTCTTTCTCCTCCCAGTCACCTTCCCTTACCTCTACAGAAGCCAAAGGAACCGAAGCTGTTCACTTTCACGTATCCTTTGAGACACCGGCACGTGTAGCGTCCGGACACATCGTCTCTGGGCACGCATTCGGACACGCCCTCGGGACACGGGAGTCTCGCAGGGGGGGGGGGAAGGTGGGGATGATAATGGGGAGAGAGAGAGAGAGAGAGAGAGAGGAGAGGAGAGAGAGAGAGAGAGAGAGAGAGAGAGAGAGAGAGAGAGAGAGAGAGAGAGAGAGAGAGAGAGACAGACAGACAGACAGACACAGAGACGGAGACAGAGAGAGAGAGTGAGATAATGAGAGAGAGAGAGAAAGGGGAGGGGGAGAGAGAGAGAGGCAGACAGACAAACAAAATATATAGAGACAGACAAACAGAGACAGAAACATTTTAATTTTTTACATTTGGTTTAATCCCATTTGTTGCAATCATGTGGGATAGACGCAGGTTAGCACTAACCAGCAGGCAGACAGACAAATAAATAGAGGCAGACAGAAAGATAAACAGAGACAGAGGCAGAAGCAGAGACAGTGACTTGAAAATTTTCCAGATAGAAATGAAAACACAATAAGCCTTAAAAAATCAACACCTATATCTTTAAACCTCAGACGTCGGTCAGTCGATATACTAACACTCAAAATACAAAAAACCTTTTAGTTTAATCTCCCTTGACGTATGTATACCGGGTTTTCTCATTACATTTTTTTCAATTACAGGATGGATAGATTAATTAATGTAATGCGAGGCGCGATCGTGAATATTTTCCATGAATTAATAAAATAGAGTTTTTTTCTTCCATCCTGAAAGATAAATGTCACTAATCCATGCGCACTGAAACAGGTCTCAACGTTATTTAAAGCTGACGTTTTACAGCGTTCATCAGGAAACACATTTATTGCTGTGTCTGTAACATTACTAAACAGTATTTCTGCCAAAATGACATGATGGATTCTTGAGTCCTGTCTTCTAGGCTAACTCCATGGTAACGTGATCTGACTTTCGTTATCATTAGATGAAGTTCTAGTCTAACCTCTAGTCCATAGGAATAAAGCTGGAAGTCCCACAAAGGCTAATATAAGTTGACATATTTTTTATCTTTGTGTCAAAGGGATTCTCTCGTTTCTAAATTGCAGGATTACAAGATGGTGCACTAATTAAACTCCAAGACTAACTAAATAGAGTCTTGATTTTACCTTTAAGACTGTCATGTGGAATTACTTCTCATTCTGATACCAGAGTGATACAGCCATGTGTCTAATATAAGCTAAAACCCAAGAATATCATATCAAAGCTTTCATTCTACCATGTGGTCCTTTCTGCAGCCCCCCCCCTTTCCGCCCTCCACCACCGACTCACATAAATTTACTGCAGTTGCATCTTCTTTTTATAATTTATGCTGCAAAGGGGACTTTAAACGGATTCTATGGGGTGTAAAGTTGGCACGACGTGTTCGTAAATTTTTGTCACCGGTGAGTCTGTTTCTCCCTTGGGTACTTCCCCGACACCCAGTTTGGGATCCAGTGCCTTACGTTAAGGTGGCGCCTCCACTGTCCTTACTAACGGATTGGAGTCCTTTATTGGCCTACACTGATGGATGACGTCCTCAACCTACACTAACAAAATGGAGTCCTTCAATGTCCTACTCTTATGGGATGGAGTCCTTCCTCTCCTACAGTAAAGATAGAGTCCTTCCCTTTCCTACACTAACAAGTAGGAGTCCTTCATTGCCATACACTAACAGGATAGAGTCCTTTATTGCCCTACACTAACAAGATGGATTCCCCCCCCCGCCCTGCACTAACAAGTAGGAGTCCTTCACCGTCTTACACTAACGACGTGGAGTCCTCTCACCTTTAACCTTGACCGCCATGGACTCCCTCTCCACCACCAGTCCCCCGGGGAGGACGCAGGTGGAGGGCGTGTCCGTGGAGTTCATGCATTGACCTCTCAGTGCCTGGTTGACCTCGCCGGTCATGTTGGGTCGGGGGGCCATGACCAGGAAGTCCACGCGGTAGGCTGTGGTGGCGTCAGAGCGCGTGGTGGCGGAGCGTCTGTTGGCAGCCGGTGTCACGCTCAGGATCTCCGTGTTGTCCGCGCCGAAGATCGTTCCTAGCTGTTGGAAGTGATGGCTAGTAGAATTATGGGATTTCATTAGATTACGTGTTTTTATTAGTGATATTCATTTAATTAGTGCTGTCATTACAAGCAGGAAAATGGATTGGATTTTTTTTTCTTCTGAATATTGAATCATTGATGTTATTTTTACTTTTTTTTTTCATTAGGAATAATCTGAGGCGCATTTTCTTTGAAATGGGATTTATTCAGGGAAAATGCCATTTTGATCTTGAACCTTAAAAAATCGAAATAAAAAATCTAACGCAAACATAAAGTAAAATAGATATATAACTAAATAAACTTTTCAAACTTTTTCCAAAAAGACCATAACAAAACAGAACAAAACCACCAAAAACATTACAAAACACAGATCAAAAACAAACCATATAACAACAAACACAACACACCATTCCCCAAGTGTACCCCCCCCCCACTTTCCCCATCTTCCGTGCGAGAGGAATCCACACCCTCCTCGCAGCCTCACCATGACTCACACACACGACCCGTGACGTGGGTGTGCACAGGTGTGAAGTCCCGTAATAGAGTCAGGCCATTAATCATTTTTCTTCCGTGTCTGATGGTCGTTGGGCAGTATAGAGAGGGCTGGTTCATTTCATTTTATTTATTTGTTTTGAATAGGTGTTGGTCGTGATGATGATGATGATAATGACAATGTGGTAATGGTGATGGTAACAATGATAATATTGATATCATTATCATTTGTAAAGGAAATAAGGCATCTTTATCTTATACATAATGATGATGATGATGATGTTGATGATGATGATGATGATGATGAGATGATGATGATGATGATGATGATGATGATGATGATGATGATGATGATGATGATGATGATGGTGGTGGTGGTGTGGTGGTTGTGATGATAAATGATAATGATAATGAATGATGATGATAATAATGATAATGATAATGACATGATAATTATGAATGATAATGGTAATAATGATCATAATTAATACTGATATAACGATGATATTATAATAACAATAACAATGAAACGATAATGAAAATAATAACAACAACAATGGCAATGATATTGTAATATGGAAATAGTAATCAATTAACGATTACAATTACAGCAAAAGAAATAATATCATCATTATCATTATCATTTCATTGATGTTGTTGCTGCTGCCTTAATTATCATTACTATTATCGTTACTATAGTTATTAATGTATTCAACATAATCATTATTATGAGTATTATGTGTTTCTTCATTAAAAGATATCACTGTAAAATTAAAATTGACTCACGTACAAACCACTCTTTTACACCCAAGGAATCAGTCGTACACACGCACACACACACACACACACACACACACACACACACACACACACACACACACACACATACACAACACACACACACACACACACACACACACACACACACCACACACACACACACACACACACACACACACACACACACACACACACACACACACACACACACACACACACACACACACACACACACACACACACACACACACACACACACACACACACACACACACACACACACACACACACACACCACACACCACACACACACAACACACACACACACCACAGCACACACACACACACACACACACACACACACAGGCGCACTACAAATATCAGCTGATCGGTAATGACGTCAGCGTTACGTCTGACAGGCTGTAGAACCACAGCTATTATCTGCCACATCCTAGTCAGAGTATTCTACAAATCTTCGAGGACTACGATGGCGAAAGAAAATAGAGACAGTGATAAAATATGTCCAATTATAAATAAAACAAGTCGCCATGTTCCATTATCTATAAGTACTTGTTTATGATATGAAATTGTGCTTCGTTTTCCAGCACTTAAGATGTAGTGTAATTTTACCTCCACAAATGGTACATAAAAGAACATTCAGAACCAGATTTAAATAATGACAGTAAAATCAAACAGTTCCTTTTATTACACTAATATTCAGCTACTTAACAAAAAAGTGCATTTATCCTGACATCAAACAAGCTTATCCAACATTGGAATCAAAGAAAGCCTACACCTTAAGACAAGATAAACCTAAAACAAGATAAGAAATATCATCAATAATCACAAGCTTATCCAACAATTTAATCCGAAAAAAACTACACCCAAAGACAAGATAAAACAACAACAAAATTATCACAATTTTATCCAACGAGTTTATCCGAAAAAGCTACACCTAAAGATAAGAAAAAACAACAACACCAACTATAATCACAATCTTACCCAACAAAAAATCCAAGAAACCCTATACCCTATAACAAGAAAAAAAACAACTATAATCACAAGTTCATC